CAACATAGCTCCACAATACGTATGTTCAGTTATTGAGCAGACTTTCATAAATTCTTTGGCGTACGCATGAAACACCAAACGTCACTGGAACTCTGACAAAAAGAAAACTTGCTTTCATTCCTACACCAGATTCATGTAGTTGTTCTCTTTTAACTTGGCTGTTTCCAGTGTCACGCATGTGTACTTGGAAGGCTTTCAAATCAGCGTAGACTGATTTTACACTGCTGAAGCCAAAGGGGAAGTCTGCCACCAAGCTCAACTGATGCTGGAACATACTCAAGGAAGGAAAATTATGGCTGAAGCAATCAAAGAGAAAACAAATCTACATGCACCATGTGAAACAGGCTGGCTTCTTTTAACCAAAACAGAGTTTTTTACTTCCATACATATATGGAAGTGTCCATTGACAGCATTCACACAACAGAAGAATTCTAGATCTTAAAAATATGCTCCATTTACTCTTTGAAATAAGTTCTCCAAGGTTCAAAGTAATCTTTTAAACAACATGATTTAAAAAAATAGTTACATAATTTAGAGTTTGTTTATCCCTGATTTCCCTCTATATTCAACAGTGTTTTCAAAATGTAACAAGCAGTTTAAATATTTTTTAACAGCATCATTAAACTGTAAGGAAATCAATGTGTAGGAATATTAAGCCAACTTTTCTCATCCAAAAGGAAAAAATTTCACTCTTGGCAGGTGGTAATGCTTGAAAAACTAAAGTCCCTGAAGGGCTTCAAAAGTAACAGTATGTGCAGTATAGTGGCAAACAGGTAACAGGAAGAAAAGTAGGGTGCAAAGAAAAAGGTAGGAAAAAACATAAAAATGGGAAGAGACAAACAAGACAAAAGAGAATGGGTATCTATCACACAAAGCACCATTCCCATGGTATTTTGTCCTATGGCTACATAAGCATTTACCTATACTGATTCATTGATGCTCTGGTGGCATTTATGAAATTTGATTCCTGTTTAACACTTTTCCTATGTTTCTGCATTCTCCACGTATCTCAGTCTCACAATCAAGACAAAATTATATTCATAAATACTTGACTGATCAATGTTTGAAGTTGGAACTCTGACGATGTTTGAATTTTTCATTCAAATTCACAGCCCATCAAGTGATCCCACAAATACCATGCCATGACTGATCTTCTCTCACATTGTTCCTTTTTTAAATTACAAAAAAACCCCAAAAGTACTTAAAAGTATTAGTTAAGCTTATAAGAGACCACTTCCTTTCAAGTAGAGATGCTGGGCAGTTACTAAACTAATCACAAGTCACATGCTAGAAAACAGTTCAGACCACCATTATTCCAGTGCTGTCACACCTTGTGCCCCCATGCAATTAGATGTTAACTGAACACTAAAAACTTTAAATGTATGATTTTTTTTTTTCCCCTCTACTAGCTGGTAGCTTTACTTCAGTAAACAAGTGGATTCAGACTAATTCTCCAAGTTAAAAAAAAAAAAAGAAGAGAGAAAAATTACTAGACACAACATTATTTCACATAAATTGCAAGAATGCATTCTATGGTTAGTCTGCTGATGTTCTTCACAAACTTCACTGATTAGAGGAGCCTGCTCTTTGCATACTATGAGCTGTAAGAAACAACTAGAAAAGTATGTGGTTCTTCAATGTTGCAATAATTGCTTCCATATAAAGATAATGCTTGATTTTTTATTAAAAGCACAGATGAGAAAGGTGTCAATGCATCAAAGATGTGGCACATTTAAAGCCTGTCTAGTTATCATTTACATTACAAGGAAATCAACAAAATGACCAACAGATAAAAAAAGAAATAAAGAATAAAGCAAAGAAATAAAAGATGCAGGCAACATTAACAACAGATTGTTTGTTTAATGTGTTCTATCATGGTGACGGCATTTGTCTCCTAGAAAATATTACATCTAATTTAAAAAATCATATAATGTCATAAACTAGAATGTCCAATGAATAATTATCTCCTATATCTCTACCCTCCTATTAAAATATGCCCAATGGCATTTTTGGGACAGAAACAAGCTCCTGTGCATTGATAACAAAAACAATATTTAAAACCCAGCTGAGGGCAGTTTCCCCACATAGGAGCATAAATGCTAGCCCAAGATCCTGCATACTGCATTTGCTTAAATGGTACATCTTTTGTTTAACCATGACACATACACTTTGCCCAGTAAGTTGTATTTAGTTTTTTATATCCAAAATTTAATGGATCAGCAGATACAGACTTGGTAGCCTTGCAGACTTTTACTCCCAACTAGAAAAATGCAAGTATCTGTAACTTTTTTTAATGGTTTCCATAAGCTTTTACATTTATTCTTCCCTACCATTTCTCCTCTATATGGGATTAATGAGGAAAATAAAAGAATTGTAAAAGATAGAATTATCTTAAGCACTGAGAAATCTTCCATCTTTTTCAAGTACACACTGCTCATTGCTAAATAACACACCGAAACAATTCTTACAAACATTCCAAGAAAAAGTCTGTCTCTACACCAGTTTAACAGATCTTAAAATCTGTCTACAGAGCAGTTAGACAAGAATCTTCTATTTTGTCAGCCTTTATGTTCCCAAACGATTCTCTTCGCTGCTAAAAAAATGTGTATCATGGGATGCTTGCCTGCTTACAAAATAAACAACCTGACTTAACCTTCTTAATGAAAAAGGCCACTGCTAACTATTCTGTTTTCTCTAAAATAGATTAAAAGCATGCTGTATTCACCAGACAGACTTTGTTCAGTTATCCGTGATACAAACATTTTACTTGTACTTTGCTTGATAGCAGAGAATTCCTAGTCCACTGAAGAAGTTATTTTTACTGTCTAGTTATTTCTTAAATGGCAAAGCAGGCTTCCTAACCTGTGAGAAAACAGAACTCCGTTCTATTTTGATTTGAATCCCATTGCCATTACTCGAGCAACAGCATACCCTATGTGCCTCAAGCTCCCCTCAGGGCAGCAGTCTATGAGAGGAGAACTTCCTGAGCTCCGAACTGGTATCCAACACTTGTCCTTCCCATCCTGCTCTCCCCAGCATACAAATCAGACTGAGCTCTGAGGCATCACTCAGCCCAAGTGAACTCACATCTCCCTCACCTCTCACGGTGACCTCCTAAGCAGCCTTGGCTGCGACAACTGTTGGTGCCATTCCAGTGGTCAGGCAGAAGCATGGCAGCAAGGTCTACCTCACAGAAAGGAAAACGGGATTACCTGCACCTTTAAGAACCTCCAGGGAAAAAAAGAGGGAGGTACTTACTTATGCTAAAAAAGCAAATAAAAGCATTTTGTTTTCTTGACTAGAAGTCTACTGGATGGCCCTAACAAAGGGCTTTATGAACTTTATGGCTTTGTTGATCAGATCCACTGCTGGATCCAACAAGGATGAGAAAAGATAGGTTTCACCTAGACCTATGAAAAGATTCAATCATTATTCTGAGTACCCTGAGTTCTGACTCCTATAATGAAAAGTGTTAATTCAGATACAACAAAAAAAAGGCATGTCTAACTCAGAGCAAAGTAAGGATATGGAAGGACATAACATAGCCCTTGTATTTGCAAACATGATATAACCTCCTAAACTGCAGCTTAAACTTTGTGAGGCTACCGTTTCCTCCCTCCAGGCTCCCCTTGTCAAACCTCCTTTGTGCCTCACGATTTTTACTGCAATTAAATAAGAGTATATCAGAGTACAACTTTTTGTCTTATGGAACAAGTTCATGCCAGAGGATGTGTCTTACGTTGCCAAATCGAATAAAATCAGACAAGCAAAAATCTTAATTTCCCTCTTATGGCCAGGTGTAAGGCATTACTTTCCTTGGTTAGTAAATGCTGGGGTGGGGTTTTTTTGTTTTGACAAACTAGCAAATCTCACCGTTACTGTTTCACTTACAGCGAACAATTTTCCAAGTCTTAAAATTTGCTACCAAATAATTAGTATCAGTGTGAGCCAGAACACAATTTATCATTTCCTGACCAAACTCATGAACTGGCTTGTCATGGCATATGTGAAAGAAAAACTGATTTATCAAACCTCCTTGAATCCTTTTCAAGCTACTAACTAGTAGCAGTCTGCATTCTTTCTTGAATTAATATCTGATTCTGCTCTGCCGTAAGTGCCCCAAATCTACCATGGACCAAAAATGAAGCTCGAGGGCAAAAACAAAGTATCCAAGAAAAAAGATGAGCACATCAAAAGGTAAGTGATAATATCAGCTGTGCCAAGGAACATTATCTTGGAAATGAAAAAAACAAAGGCATAGCAATGCAGAAGCTAAATTAAATCTAAATGGGAACAGAAATATTAAAATACTGAGTTTATTGAAGCAAAGTCACAGAATGAAACCCACTGTACTCTTTGAAAAGACAAACCAGTTGGAAACCAAGAAAGAAGGTAGAAACACAACATTAAAAAAAGTACCCATAGATTAGTTACTTCAAAACAGGTATTTTCAGGACAAAGCTAAGAAAATTATCTTGAGAAAATCTATGTAGATGCAGTTCATTAGGAACAAAACTGGAAACACTTAAAGAGAGCCACAAGATAGGAAGAAGACAGCAAAAGGATTTTGCCAATAACTTCCACTGAAGAATATAGACTAAGAAACCTACAACAGAAAGAACACAGTTCATCCCCTGCTTTGCAAGTGACTAGGTGAAAGACGACAGGCAAAAGCATCATCAAGAACACAGCTTAGCTCCCAGATCTGGGAAGCAGCTACATTTGGCTACTGTAATGGCAGACAAAATTACATTCCAACATCTGCCGCAGCAGTTCAGGGAGGTTTGCCAGAATCAAGCATGAATTTACAGGTTAGGATGAAAAATCAAAAACTACCTTTTCAAAACCACCTAAGTTCAACTGAAGAACTGAGACAGTCAACAGATCAATACACACATATACTGCCAATGCAAAAAAAAAAAAAAAAAAAGAAATTAATTCAAATAATGTTTTCCATACAATGAAAAGATTATTTGGCAAGATAGTCTTTACTTGATGGAAAAGCACTAGACTCTGACTTCATAACCGGAAGAACTTGTTATGCAGGCTTTAAACACAGTAGGTGGTAATAGGGAACTTCCCTTTAAAACGAACTGTAAAACGCACTTAATATTTTAAACATATATAGAAAGGATGCATGGTTTGTAGCATAACGATTGTTTTAAATGCTGGCTTAGTTAAGGTTCTGAATCTAAACAAAGTACATTGCAAGACTATCAAGAGGTGTTTAATATTAAATAGAGTATGAAACTGCAGAAATACATGACTGAAAATGGAGAATATCCCAGCACAACTGAACAATTAAATTCATGTGTTTTCTGCCAGTTACCACCTGTTGACAACTGGTACATCTAAGAAGACTTCCTAGCTGGGTGAGTATTTTAGGGATCAGGCAACATGGCATCTACCAAGACATTCTGTCCTCATCCAGCCACTGGCAATGGTTGAATGGGACATGTTACCTACCCAACCCTCTCACTTGAATTTACACAGACACGGTTTGCAAAGTGTTCCTAGGACAGCAGCCTCAGAGGCCTCACTCTGCTGCCCATGCTGCAGGATGACAACCCGCAGGGGAAGGGTGAGCAGAAAGACAGGAGCAACAGCATCATAAAGGGCTACAGTCAGCGATAAGAAACAGGTAAGGATCACCACCAGAGTCTTTACAGAGTCAGGCCTCAATTATCCATAGGTGGATTATCCACTTTGTTGCCTAACTATGCTGCAGGTGCAGAAGCATTTAAGCTGCTTTCATCTGATCTAACTCGGGTCCAGAATCAGAAAGTTGCATCTGTACCATAATGTACACAGTGCATTTATTAGTTTGGATAAATACTATTTCAGAGAGCAGCATCCCTGATCTATTTCACCTCAGTATGATGTTGCAGCTTAATTGTACAATATTTTGTGTTATCCATATTTTGCATTATCCCATTTCATTGTTTTCCCAGATAATAGAGAATTAACTGTACCTCATATAAACTCAAAACATGGCTGCACAAGGTTACTCAAGGAACTCAAGAGATGATAAATTAAGAAATGCAGTGATCCTAGGCAAGGAGAAGCAACATTAAAATCCATAAGTACAGAATATAAAACAAGTTATTATACATTTCAAAAAAGTGTCCAAAGGAAAAAAAAAGGAAAAAAAAAAGAAAAAAAAGAAAAAAAAAAGTAACTGAAGCAGAGCATGAAGTATGCCTCATCAATGGAGTCATTTAATGCTAGACAAAACTGAAGTGCCCGAAATGGCAATTAAACAAACCAGCCTAACAAAGCTTCTCTATTTCTATGACAAACAAACGTTCAGCAGTGACACTCTGATGTTCCTAGGTGCTGCACTGAGTAAGCATTACAGTAAGTAACATACTTAAGAGAAGGCTCTAGTTCGCACAAATAGATATACTCAGTAGAAAAAGGATTGACGATATACTCTGTTTTTCTCCATCCTCTACTTTAAGTCTTTTGAAATATGATTCAAATGGATTGTGCCACTGTTCCTAAGGGAGATTAAGATATTCACGGTTGCTTCTCAGATATGAGCAGCAATAGCTACTCTTTTTGTCAGCAGCATACCTCTGTCCTTTCCTTAATCAAGAGAAGAAAACATCATAACAGCAAAGAAAACCATATTGTTGCCTGTATCTAACTATAAATGGGGTGGAAGGGGTGGGGGCTTAGCAAAAAACAAGGATAACAAATTGTCATTTGGACTTCTAAAAACCAAGGTTTTTTTCAGTTTCCCTTTTCCATTAAATAATTTTTTTTGTTGTTTTCTTAATGTCTTGGCAGTAATCTTAGTAACCTGCATATACATGCGTTTTCAAACAATGTCGCATTTATTTTCTTTCAGTTCCTACTAAGTCTATGGCATTTAGTTTACTGGAATTCTCTTTTGTTCATATGCTATAAAACGCTACAGAAATAATTTATAATCAGACATGCATTTCCCAGTATTTCTCTCCATTAGCTTCACCAGAATTTTTAGCTGGTACATGTTCCTAAAAATACACCCATTTGAGCACATTTGTGAGATCTGCATTTCATTAAGTAATACAGAAAATCTGGTTTTGGTAGTTGTAAGCCCTCCCTCAGATATTTCAAGCACCACCCAGGCCCATATCATGAGAATTTCAATGGCTTTACCCAGACACTTACAGGAAATCATAAGGTAGTCTTCACAGTTGCCCTTCTCGTCTTGATGTTCCACAGGGATTCCATTGGCATCGATCACTGCCTCTGATGCACAGTCTGCCACCAAGACTTCTTCAGAAACAACATCTGTTCCCAGAGTATCAGTGACAATATCTGCTTCTTCAACATTATCATGAACTACATGTTCTACATGTCCAACTTCAGGTACATGCATTGACTCACTTGTCAGTACATGTTCTGGTATAGACATTGCTTCTGCTGTTATGTCAGAAGCCAAAACATCATCTGGGACAGTGCAATGAGCCAAAGAAACCTCTTCAGCTACGTCTGTGTCCAGCACTTGTTCAGGAATAATGACAGTTTCAGATACGTCTGGCTCCTCCATGATATCTGGGCACTGAACATCCTCGATAACAACATCCTCAATGACATCTTGGATTACTACAGAATCTGGATCATCAGGAACAAAATTATGCACGGTTATATCTGAGTCGACTACATCTGAAACAAATACTGTTTCCTGTACTTCCACAACAATCTGATCTCCATCCATATGTCCTGCATCAGCTCCTGAAAGACATAATTAAAATAGCAGTTAAATTGTAAAGCTAACTCAGGTGAAGTGGTTAATAATTGAAATTACTTCTATTTTACTTCAACTTCTACACTATACTGCAATTTAGTAAAACAAGCATAACAGCCTATAAGCAATTAAGATAGGCAGATGCACGGGGAGCTGATAAAGCAAGTCCTCTGTATATGCTAACGTAACTAAGATGAACAACATTTTCTCTCCTGGAAAAGGTTACCACTTTTTAGTCTCTCCCTCAACATCTAAACAACTATTACTTGACAAAACAGTGGCTCATTCATATTGCTCTGTGTAATAAAAACAACCAAAAAATGAAAGCAACTACTCTACACAAAAGCACTGATGCAGCATAGCACTTTTAAGCAAAGACAAAATAAATGACAGTCAATAGTATCTAATGTGAACACTCTTATCTACATGTTATCTCCTGACAGACCTGTTGGATCAAAAAATGCATTCGGCTCATGTGGCTGCAATTCAAGCCCATCTTCATCCATGGCCTTTAACTCTCATCAGTCACAGTGTCTGTAGAAGGTAAAGAAGAAAGGTTATTTAACTCGTATTATGTTATGAAGATTGCCTCTGTCTGTGCACTGAAAAGCAGAAATTTTGGGCACATGGAAGTTAACAGATAACACCTCTTGACTTTAAGATGGACCAGATTTCACTCAGGGTACCTCTGTTTGGGATTCCAGAAATACTACTCTAGAGCACCAAACACCCAGGGTCTGAACAAGAGGAGTGTGAGCTCCAACACTCCAGGTCCATTTCTCAAAACCCCACAGCTCCACAAACACAGAAGCAGCTGATAAGTGGATATGAAAATATGATTTTTTTATAATCTTACAAAGAAAAAAAACTTAAGACAAAGCCTACACAAGCTCACATTCAAGTCTTTTCTGGATGGTGGGGAATAGAGCATTGTCAAATCAATAAAGCTGGATAAGGTAAGTTACAGGTAGACAGCTAATAACCTGAAATGCACACTGCTTTTGATGCCCCCTGTATTCATACTTGGGCAATCAGGAGGTAGTTACTGTTATGTCACTTCAGGAATTGAAATCATCAATGTAAACTGCTTCTAGAACATAACACTGCATGTCTTCAAACCCCAGATGTGTGAATATTTTAAAAACTCCTTCCCCAAGACAAAGTACCCATTTGCTTTTGTATTAAAAAATATCACCAGTTCTCAAAAATCACTAAATGTCATATTCTACTGAATTCCTTCAAACAGAATGTCAACATTTCTTCAATGCATAATAACAACTTAAGATTTCAATCACCTTAACAAAAGAGCCAAACAAGACCACAAAGTTAAAATACTTACTAAAATCTGAAACTGCAAACTAAATTTTGCTGCTTACATATGTGCATTACAATTAGGAATAGGCAAACCTAGTTGGGTAAAATGTGATCTAACATAAACTTGTACTACTCCCTTGCATTTAGTCCAACTAGTTTCCTAAGTGCAGAACCAGCAAGAGGCAACAGAATGTTGTTACATGTTTCTGCTCATGTTTCTGTACAAGTGGAAGATTCGGTTCTCCTTCCTCTAAACATTTTTCACAGTGACAGGCAGAAATCTCCCCATTCCTGTGATACTTTCACAAAAGACCTAGAGAAAACATTAAGATTCTGCCCAAGGTTTCCATAAGAATAATAACCTTTCCAAATTATGTCAACTAACATTTGCATTAAGTCTTCATGGGGGAAACTGTTACACAAAAGTAAAAATTAACTACTCCAAAACACAAACCTGCAACCATAATCTGTAGCAAGCATTTTCTAGACTTCAACATTTTTCTTGCTCAACTTTTCACAACTCTTCACAGCTAACCACCCAATTTATATAAGCGAAAATGTATTTTTACAAGTTGAGGGAGAAATATAGCCAGCAATTGAACTGGAGGAAAAGCAGCAACAGTCTAGTAATTTTCCAAGGGGTCCCATATTTGTGTGATGTTCAGTTGGAAGGCACCTGTATTTTAAAGACAGCTGTGCTAACAAATCATTGTGGTGTCCAGCTGGACATAAATCACCTCACAATTATTCTGACTGTCAAGCATTTCTGTCAGAAGCACCCACTATTAACAGGAACAGCTCGTCACACAGATGCTTTTTTCAGAATCAAGAGCAGAAGAAAAGCGTTTCTCAGCCTCACATACAAGACATAGCTTGACTGATGGCAATAAGCCTCTGCCATGCCACAGAAACAAGAACAGAACAACAAGGTTTCATGCAGTCATTTAAGCACGAATTATTCATACCCAAATTGGTTTACTTCCATCTATTCAGTATGCACCTAGCCAGTCTATTACAAATGTCTTTCCTATTCATCTTGTCATCTATTCTGTGTTGTCTTCAGTGTTTAGTTTCTTTTCTGCTGCTTCTTCTCCAACGCCTTGTGTGCCTGTACCTATATTATGTTCATTACCTCCTCACCCGCTCATTTCATCTCTCCAGCATAAGCACACTCCCATCATTCACACAAAACCATGCTACTCATCAATTTGTAGCAAAGATTGTATCAGCAACTCAGAGATTTTTTTGGAGGAGGAGGAAGCAAGGGGGATTAAGGGTTGGCGGAAATAAATTGCCTCACCTCGGGCAACACACACATCAGAAGCTAGCACTTGCTGTCCAGCTCTCTGGGAAAAGTCAAAATGCTGTTTCTGCCTGTGCTTTTGAGGATTGTATTATCATATATATTAGCCTCTCATCAGCTGGGACCCAACCAGCTTGAAGTGCCAGTTCACCACTAGCTACTGGAAGAACTGGCATTCGTTTTCTCCGCTTCCTGCTTTCATCACCCACCTGACCACTGCTCCACCACAAATTCCTTCTTCTTATGATTCATGTGTGTACTTTCTCTATCCTATCCTCTCCCCAAATTCCTCACTGTCTTTATGAGTGAGGCTCTCCTTCATCGTCCTTCTGTCCATCCTCTTCAACCATGAGACCCAGAGGCTGCCACCACTACTTCCCAGCTTCGAGAACAAGCCCATTGATGCCATCTCTTCACTGCTGCTTTCCCTGCTGCACAGATTCCAGGCGACAGATGCCAAAACCAACAAGTCTCTGTAGTGTTCACGATGGTGCAGTTCCACAAACACACTGCCACAAGCAGTGACAGCCCAGCAGACCTTCAACTGCATACTCTGCAGGACAGCGTGGCCTCTTCTGTATTGGCGAGGTCCTTTCACCTACCTACAGGGGCATAATATGCTGCAAAACAAAGGCTCAGGTTCTACGCAAACTGAAGAAGTTTCTTGAGCACATGGGTTTTCAAGACCGAGTCTTAAAAAGGCCACAGATTTATGCTTTGGTACTTGTTCCAAAGAAGAAGAAAAAAACCCCTACCCTTTCACTGAGAGAGTTTCTTCCTAAATAAGGTTTCCCATTATGTGCTTTTGTACCCAGACCCAGACACAAACTCATGTACAGGAATTCTTGCCCCTGTGCAGGACCATAAAGACTTTAAAAGTGCTCCGCTAGGGCAGAGACCCCATCTCCACAGAAATTTGCTGCAGCAAGAGGACCAGAAGAAGATGCAGGCATTAAAAACAGGATTTAACTAAAAGGATAATCTAAAATGATAAAGGTGCCTAAATCAAAATCTGCTGTCCAAAATGGCATCAAGACATTTGTCCATGGATTGGGGGGGGGGGGGGGAAAATCCCCTAAAATTTCCTGAAATCATTTCAGGGTTTGAGCATTCTAACCTGTAGATGAGAAAACACTGTGTTTCTTCCTGCTTGCTCTTCTTCTGAGCAGTGGACCAGCACAGGGGCCAAGATTCAGCCACACAAAGGCAGGTATGCCACATGGTTCTGTACCAACCCACAGCTCCGTGATGAAGGCACTGTTCTGTGACACGAGAAATACCAGAGCTTCTCGTTGTAAGCACCACACCGAGTACCTTCAAATTCTTTGGCAAGCACCCTAAGCTCTGTGGTACCATACAGCTAAGAAGCAATTCCAGCAGTTCATTTTTCTGGAAGATTTCAAGAACGGCAGAAAGTCCTCTCAGTTCTTTCAAAATATTCCATCTGACGCTTACCTCAGGAGCAGGTTCTGGCACCAGAGCAGACAGAATCAATTTTCAGTTCCGGTTTGGGAACCTAAACTCTCAAAGAAAAGCAGGTGCCCAGCCATTTACCTACAC